TAACAGCTCCAACCAGCACATCAGTGGGACTCGAGTGACTACTGTCATTTTTTGTTTCTAGACTTTACTCAAATTTTTATTCAAATTGAAAGGAAGAAGTTACAAATAGGATTATGTTTTTAAGAAAGCAAGTCCACACGTGCTACACTGCAAAAGAAATAGTCTTCTTCCACTAGAAAATTATTGATCAAAGTTATTCAAATTTGCATTTATTTKAAGTAGATAAAATGGCAAATGTACATGGTAATGAAATATAGTGTTTTATGATGTATATTATGAAATAGAAGAGAATGAGATTATTTCTTTAGGCCWATCAATTATTAAATTATCATTAAAATGTATGTATATAAAGAATTCTATGACCCTTTCTGATTAGATTACCTTGATATGACAGAACACATTGTGATTATTCTTTGATGCTTTGCAATAAGGATTTAAATTCTAAGTAGATTTCAGGAAGATTTTCTTTTGAAACAGCAGTAAAAGATAATGGGTGGACAATATCTAATGAAGCAGAACAGGAAACAGGAGAGACTTTTTAATTTACTCAATTGGTTTCCTATGTAAAAGATGACGAAGTTACCACCACATAGWTTTTTTTTGTGGGAAGTTTCATTCGGTTTATTAGCTATTCAAAATTCAGGGCATTTAATAAAAACCGTTTTGCAATACTGGAAGACCAAAGGAGAGTCTTTTTGTGAACTTTGAGATCAGGAGATCTGCAGACAGAGGATTTGTACCTTAGTGTAAATGCTGAGCRCCAGGAGAATTACATGCTCTTCCACATACAGAAGAATAAAGCAGGTTTTCATGTCCCTTTTTGCAAAGATGGCAGCAATCTCTAGTGCTGGGTTGGACTTTTCTTCGGTGAGATGTTGGAGCACTCACTGGGCTGTGAGGAGCCAAGAGCAGAGGTGACCAGGTGACCGTTGTTTGCTGGGCTAAACAAGGGATTTGGGTGCCTGAAGCCTGAGTGAAGAAGCGGATTTAGGAAATGGGGAACAGCAGAGAGGAGAAGGGATGAAGGCTGCTTGTGGTCTAAAAGACAAAGGAAGCAGGATTTTTGCTTGGCATTGAGCAGTGATTACTAGAGAGATGTTTATATAATTGAAAGGTGTCTGAGAATTGTAAATGGCAGAGTTTGAAGGTGGGCCAGTGCACAGTTCAGCTGTGCTATCACAAGGTGTTTCCAAAGCTGATGAGCAAAGCACTTCCTTTGCCCCATTTGTGGCAAGTGAAGAAAGGAGCAGAGCTGTAGTGAAATATGTGTGGTAGGAGCCCCATTCATGTGAAGAGGCTCCATTCAGGGCCTTACAAAGGCTATGAGTCAACTGCAGAGAAAGGAGGCATTTCACAGAAACTGAAGTGTGACCCTTTGTTTTGCCTGACCCCAAGGTCCCCTGTGACACAAAAGGGGACCCCAGCACTGATTCTGCAGCAACAAATGCCTGTTGTAAGTGAGTGTATTTGAGGAGCAGTGACAAAAAGGAATGACCCCAGGTTCTTGTTTCCAGCCCTCGTTTCCCAAGGGACTGTCAAGGAGAGAGTCCTGGATGCAGCMTGGCTGAGGTGAGGAAATGAGGGTGGTGGAAAGCTCTTCCTGGTGGATACATTTCCCTTGAAAACCTTTCCTGAAATGCATGATCTGATTATCCACTTGTACTATTGGGACACCTGGATAGTGAGGTTTTTGGATTTTGCTCCGTGAGGTCTGCAGAAGTAAATACCTCTTTCATTCAGCAGTTAAGTGAAGGGGGATTTTTCTAATTTAGGATTGGCAAGGGATTAGAGTGTCTAAGTAGCCTTGTCTTTGTTTTAACTTGCTATTAGCCCATGACTACTTTCTTTCACAATCAAAGTAGACATGAAAGGGATGTTTTGCTTTGCTCTTTTCATTATTCCAGAGAGCTGTAAGTCCCTATTAAAGTTCATGATGGAATTAGGGTGCAGAATGATGGATTTAAAGGTATCATAAAACTCTTCCTGGTAAGCAGTTGTCCCCAAATATATACCAGTTGTGGCCCAAGAGAGGCTGCTGGAGGCATCCCAAGCAGCCATGCATTGGCTCTGCAGATCCTTTGAGCTGAGGAAATTCATTTGCATATGGATGCCATGCTAAGGAGGCCAGCCCGGATTTCATTACTGCTAATGATGTGTGTGGGAGAAGTGATTTAGTTTATAGCCAGTGCCAGGCATGGCACAATGAGGAAGTACTTAATTCATACAAAGTTCTTTTTTTGCTTCTAAGACCTAAAAATCAGGGGATTTAAAGCAGCTCCAGTGGTGTCTTCATGACCATGAACAAAACTGTGACTGAGGTAAGGGAAGGAGAAGGAAGCATGAAGATGTAGTATTGATGTCATGGAGGAAAGGATATGGGGAGAGATGAAAGGGAATGAAAAGCGGAAGAGAAGAAAGAACAACGGAGAATGGAAAAAAAACCAGCAAGGAGAACTGGCTCCGTAGGAATTGTGGCTGCCAAGACTGGACATCGGGATTTTGGAGGCGACRGAATTTTTACTGAGTCTTTRCTGTAGTTTTCCCAACTCAAARTGCAGRCAAACACTTTGGRCCTGGGGWAAGATGTCCMTCTTCAGAGACAARTTTTTGRGACCTGGWAAGGAGAAAAGGGACCCCAGGATAWCACTGGAGGTGRWGAAGCTGGGAGTTGCTGCACTGCCTGAAGGCATCTTCCAACTCCACTGGAGCCACCTCTGCTTTCCTGTTCTGACATTGCCTCAGATAAGGGGGATATCTCAGAGGAGCCTGGGGGCAGATTCTTGGCATCTACTTCAGGGGTCAAAGGGGCTACTATGCTCAGGCATCTTCAGGAAGARCTATTTGAACAGGGATCAGTGTTTTGGGTGGCCTCTCGGCTGTGAGTAATAAATCCGTCAAGCAGGAGAAAGGATGCAGAAAGGAGAAATGGCTGAATGAGGGGGAATAAGTCAGAGGGATTAAAGCACACCAAACCAGCATGCTGGAAGAGTGTTTGGAGCATGCACTGCCCCCAGAGCATGTGCTGGGACAGAATTTAAAAGGTTGAAAAGGAGGTTGGAGGAAGAACTGAGTTCTGTGGTTTATGGGTTCCAACCCCTCTGGTGTTTTATACTCTCCTGCTATCGTTGCACAGGGTAGCAGGGACGAAGGGCTGTGAGCTGCTGCCCCTCACTTGGGTGTGGGGTATGACCATCCATCTGCAGCTCACAATATGAAAACCTGAAAAAAGATCTTTCAACAGGAATTATTCCTGCCTTATTCATGGCACAGCAGCTGGTTGTAATGAATTTTAACTGTTTGGCTGCAATCACCCACAATGCATGCAATCAAAAGGATTATGGCCCTGCTCACTCCTGCAGCAGCCTGGAAATGCTATCTCSGAAAATAAAGGATGGTTTGGGGAACCTTGATTTAAGCTTTGTTGTTCGGCAATTTTCTGAAGAGGGAAATCAGCTGGTCAGTTGGACAGGGGGATGTGAAGACCACTTCAGTAATCCCTGAATGGGGAATGCAGTTTGGAGAGTTCCCTGATTTCTGCTTCATCTGAGTTGAACTCAAAGAGTATGAAACAGTGACATTTAGCTGGGGTTACTGGAAATTAAACATTGTTTACTTGATATTGCAACTGAATTCAGAACAGCTGTAAGATGTCTTTAAAGAACAAGCTTCAGCTTTAGCATTTGTGTGTCCCTGAGAAAATACTRAGCTTTGCTGAACTGGTGGCCTTTGTATGTGGTTTTAGGCCAACTGTACGCTTTTGAATGTTTTAGTATGTGCAAGTCATTGGAATGATCTTCATACCCAACTGTCTGAAAACAGCACACAGACTTCTGCAACTAGAAGAAATTAGAAAGATGATTTATCATAAAAGAAGCAGGAATCAGCTAAATTTAGCAAGGATTTGAAGAGCAAAGGTGAGACAMAATAACATGCAATGTTTCCTAAACCCAGGGGGAAAAAAGGAGAAAAAGAGATTATGCCAATGCATTATTTTTACTGGGCCTCTATTGGCASACTAAATTGTGTTGGGGATGGCTCATTTCTCCTCAGCAACAACAGCAGGTTTTAAATAATGCTTCATATTTCCCAGGTTTAGCAKATGAAGAAAAGTAATTACTTGGGAGGCAAATAGAGCAGATTTACAAACAGAGGAGAATGTTTTATGGCCAGACTTGCAAAGATTTGGCTCTTGCAGATGCCAGGAGACTCTGCATCTGCTTTAATCAATGTGGGTTGATCCTTTCTGATTATTTCTTTGAGATCTTCATGGTTCTTAAGGCAGTAGTTYATATTATCCAGGACAATGTGATTGTAGTGCTTCACAGAGAGGGTAACTTACCTGAAAATTCAAACTGCACRGCTTTTGAACTGTAAGAACTTCTGGCTCAGAGAAGTCTGGGTTCTGTGTTTTGTTTAATTACTGAAATGTCATTTTCTTTCATGTCTGTATTTAGGATCTGTTGGCCTCRAAATGTATGGCTGGGCTTGTAAAACTTGGCTTCTTCACCAGATGACTCTCTATTTGCTTTGATCAAGTCAGTCTGATTATTTCTTTGAGATTTCTGAGGTTCCTGGGGTGGTAGTTATAGACCATCTACAGCTACATAAATGTTCAGCTTTTCCTCACACACAGGGCAACTCACCAGCAGATTGAAGATGAATGTCTGCTCAGTTTATTAGAAAGTGGCCAAGAGAAAAACAGAAGAGCCTGGAAATGCTGAGCAATGCAGTGATGGGTGTAGGAGGCCCTGTGGTGTCACCTTGACTGCTTTAGTTTTCATGATGGTTAAATTGGGTTGAAGTGGGATGGGATTGGGTCTGTATGTTTATAGTGACCCTGCTGTAATGTATCTTTTAAAAGATAAGATCTTCTTTAAACATAAGAGGCAGTGAGGGAGGGGAGAGGGCAGGCAAGCACTGTATATAGCATCTGTTTAATTATATGAAACAGGGATTTTCCAATAAGCCTTTCAACACAAARAACATTCAGCTATCAGCATCACAGTATATATTTTCTAAATCACAACACCCACACATTTCCTTAGCCAAGTAGAAGTTTTCCCTCCATGGCTGCATATCTAAAATTAGCCTGAAGGTCAAATTTGAATAGAAATACCCTTACCATTGAATGTGCTGGGAACGATTGGTGCAATGGGCTCAATTTTCCCATCGAAAACCTTCATTTATTTTTTTAAATAACAGTTGCTTTTACAGTCAAAGAGCTTGGAGAAAGGCAAAATGAGGCCTGCTGTATAAAATCAACATCAATATTCTGCTTTCACTGCAAGGCTATTTTTATAGCCAACTATTTTAAATGTAACAAGATGGRTATAGTGAAGCCACAGTGTAAAAGATGCAGCAAGAGGCTCCTGAAAAGCAAGCCTGAGCACAGACATGTGAAAGAAAAGCCTTGAAATCTGGAAGATGTTTGTACATGAAGACAGACACAATGAAGAATTCTGAGTTAAGAAATGCATCGCAGAGAAGAAGTGAATAGTTAAAGTCTAAAAATAGTTTTKTAACCTGCAGCTGTATTATGTGGGGACGAAGCAGCCTATGTGCTCCATAAATGCAAAAGCACCGTCTTGCAAGAAGTGCATTTATCAGCCACAGTGTTTTATTGAGTGCTTTAATAATACAAGTGTACATCAACTGATCCACAGTCAAAAGTGGCAGGTCCCTAAGAAATTTACAAGCACTTTTTTTTTGTTTTTTAAGTAAATCAAAATACATATTAATTTGTTCAATGCAATAGCCTTTTGTGTGGGAAACAGAAGGCTAGTGATAAACACAGTCTTAGTAATGCACAGTGATTCTTGATTTTAAGCTTTTATACAAAACTTGTTCCCAGTAGCATGCACCCACCATTAAAGACTTCAGTACAAAAAAATAACCCTAAACACTACATTTAAGTAGAAACGAGATATAATTCTGAATTTGTTTTCCCCAGAACCACATGAAAGGAAAAAAAATAAACCAACCCCACACATTAATACAAAGCTTTGTGATAAAGCTCTATACTATTACAGATCCAACATTCTTTGCACTGATAACCAAAATTCCCTGTCTACATTTGAGGGAAACAACTTTCAAGTTAACAGAACAAAAAAACCCAGAACAAATAAAAATAAAAATGAAACAAACAAACAAAAAAAGGAAGTAAGGACAACCTTTTGTCACAAAATGGTTCAAAATTTAATAAAAAATAAGAATGAAGGGAAGGGCTATTGATGCACTTAGTGAATGTGCTTGCACAGGTCCAGCAAATCCTAGAGGAGGTTCCTATGTGGCGTATCGCTTGGTCCAYTGTCTGGCCATTCTGTCGTGCTCTGCTCTGTTAGTCATGTACTGAGTGGCAATGCTTCCAACCAGGGGGTCAGCTGAAAAGGAAACACAAACTGTGAAATGAACGKCAGCCTAGGGAGGATGAAAAGGTTTTCAATAGATCCACATTCATTCRGTTCTCTTAGGTCTAACTGCAAGGACAAGGTGAAATACATGTCTGGTAAACACATAACTGAAACAATTTTCTAWAGTTCTATTTCACAAAAAAAGTGTTCTGATAATTTTATTTTGAGTTAAAATTCACCTTTAGGTGACRTAATTTATTTATGGTATTAGACTCTAACAAGTAAATACATTCTTACCTAAGAAGAGGATTAGCCCTACTTCTGTTATCAGGTTCAAAGTTTTTTGTGTTTTTTTTTGKTTTTTTTTAATGCTTTTAGTTTTAAAGCATAAAGAAATACAAGGAATCAGTGCAGTAAGTACTATTTTCAAAGCAACAGTTAATTCCAAACTCTGGGAATTGTTATTTAATTTATGGGATCTTTCTGAGCATTCATATGGCCAGAATGCTACATGATATAGTCTGGATCTATGAATACTTAATAGATCAATTATAATAATTAATCAAAACGGAACAGTCCCCTAAGAAAAACAATCCAAGATATTCCCATAAGTGATTGTATTTCATCAACATTTTTCTCTTTCAGTCAACATTTTCCTCTTCTCAGTTGAAGCAGATGAAATATATAGAGTTTTTCCCTTTTTTGAGGGGAACCCATATTCTTTATATTTCTGTTGCAACAGTAAATTTTCTGAGATTGTACCATGCAAGTCCAGAGGCATTGATACGACACTTTTCCCTGACTTAGGACAGATGACTATGACTTCTTCTGAAAGCTAGGTAATAATCAGCTTGGTATTTGTCTRAAGATGATGCCATTGAACAGTATGAACATTGGCTTTCCCAGTACATTTTTAATCAGAGTGTGGTGCTTGCACTATTAACCACTGAAATTCCCAGGACAARATGTCAGGCCTTCTGTCAAGCAGAGTAAATCTGGGCTTTTTTGTTTGGTTGTTGATGACAAGAGTTTATGACAGGGGAAATACGATGGCTTAGCCAGAAATAGTTTGATTGGCTGACTGCCAACCTCACCAAATATTAGTGAGTAATATCTAATGAAAAAAATTCTTTTGCATTCCATGCATCACCTGCACTTTCAGGAAGAGCCTGTGATTTGAATTTAAAGTTTACACCTTCTAAATTAGTAAGACAAGTTATCACTGTGACTGCAGTGTACTACGTCCCTGTAGTCTCAGTCCTGCAAACACCTACTGCTTACCTTTAATATCTTAATATATCCAGAGGAGGTCACTGAGGCCTGGACTTGATTACTTTTACATGCATGAGTGTAAAAAAATGAGTGTAAAAGATATCTGGTCTAAGATAGATTTAAAAAGTTGTAGACTAGAAAGTATATCACCTTTAACTCCTCAGCCAAGGAGAAAAACTATGCAGGGGATTACCTGAGGGATTTTGTCCTGTGCAAATAGGARGTTAACAGTCTGGGCATTTAAACGGCAAAAAGTTATTTGTGGCTGGAATGAGGTTTAAGAAGCACTGCAGGGCAAGTGGGGAACCTGGGCAACAGGAGAGAGCAACATTTGTCTTGACAAAAGATTTAGGGAGTAGCAAAAGGGAAACCTTCTCATAGTGGAATGGTAGCGCAGGGATGAGCCTGAGAGCACTGCTGYAAATTCCCACACCCTCCTTGGGCAYAATGCCAYGGTGCAAAGAAACACCACAGACTCATGGAGAAATGGAGACTAAAGGTTGAACTTGAAAGGAATCCTTGAAGCGAAATTKGAAGCATATCCTGGTTTTCATGCTTCTTGGGGAAGATGGGGTTTGGCCGCTAAGGCATCTGGCTGGGAAGGGTTGCAAGAATATCACGGCACTGCCATCTGGAATGAGGCAAGTTCTTATTGAGGTTTAGTGTGTATTTAAASTGATGCCTCTGAGATCTTTATAAAACCTTGTGGAAGTCAGTGAACAGTGATGTGCTRTAGTAAAGGTTTATCTGGTTCAAATCTGCAAGTTTTTTATGGGCAGGATGAACATTTCTGTGAAAGCATGTTTTTCACATTGAGAGCTGTAAATTAATATCCTTGATATACTGCAAGGATACTGAGGATCACATCATCATCCCCAATCCTGGATGATAATTAGAATGTCTGGTTTCCTAGTGTGTGGTTCCACCTATATCTCTGTTTAGGAGCAAGAAAATATTTCAACAACATGCATCTTTACAAGGCTTTGGAACATACAGGCTCTTCTCCCCCACACAGAGCATGGGAGGCTGTCCYCTTTCCTTTGGGGTGAGAGAATCAGGAGAGGAGTTCTTGGTAAGAAGGTGTGGAAATCTGTTGAAGCCCAGTAATGCAGAGAACTGGGGTGTTTATTTGTCCACATGACCAAGCCTTTGTCCCCGCAGTGTTTTGTCTGGCAGTGGGAAGACTGGAGGAAAGGGCCTGTAAGGTGTCTGAGGCCTACAAAGCTTTTGTTCCAAGTGTGTAAATTCCTGMCAAATGACCTGAGAATCAACTATCAGTCATCTCAGGTGCTTCCCCSCAGCCAGTGCCTCCCTCCATCGCTGTCTGCCTGCACAGAGCAGGATTGTGGAAGCAAAGAGAGCTCCTTGCTGTAGCATGAGCAGCACCAGCTGCACCCACAGGCAGCGGCCAAGCCAACGCTACTAAAAGCGTCAACAGCATTGACATTGGTGGGTTTTTCTTCTTTTTTTTTTTTTTTTTTTTTTCATTTTGGCTGTAAGTTTTATTGGTTACAACAATACTAAATAAAAAACCAAACACACAGCTTGCGAAAGACACTTGCTCATTTGAGATTGCAAGCTGAAGGAATAGAAAAATAGTTATTGACAGCGAGGCCCAGCTACTTCACATCTCTGTCAGAGGRCCTGGAGGTGCTGCCATTACATGCAGATATTTATGAGGACTTAAAAAAGGACACTTCAATAGGTGTTTGAAGAACTGTCTTATTTTAGCAGCTGCTGTGAAGCCATAAAGCCATCAGGAGGCACAAGTGCTTTGTTTGGGAAGCCAAGACAGCTGGCAAGGAGGGAAATTTAAACTTCAGACCAGAGSCACCCAACCAGGGGCACAGTGGCCRGTTTGAAGCAGCACGCTGGTTTTGTGCCACAGGATGTAAGGATAATGTGTGAGCTCCAGAAATGCCATCGGTCTCTCCCTGAATCTGTGTGGGCAACTTCAGCCAGCCCTCAGGCACAAGGAGACACTTCATGAGTCACTAGCCATCGCTCCTATGTAATTCACCATGATGGGGCCATAACACGGAGATWACAAGATAAATTGAAGCATCTCAAWTAAAACAATTAAAATATTTAAYTCCCARCATGTATAAGCCTTTGTTATAGTGCCCAAGTCCTACAAAATACTAAATATGAGGAAGAAATCCTACAAAATAYYAAGTATGAGGAGGAAAYATTGGTCCCCATTTATTTCCYGAAGCTRTGYAGYACAKGGCTGAACACCACCYGGTGCTCAGCTGGGCTGCACTGTTKAAGGGGTATTGTGAAATATCCATTAGTAAGGCCAAATATGTATTTATAAAACAACCRCTGCGTAAACTATCTAATTAAGAGATGAAAAGGAAAACTGGATCTCAAAATTCATAACAAGATTCTTCCCTTGTTTCCATTTCTCACCAGAAAACTGTTTCTTATTTTCCATTTGTATATATCTGTGGTTTTATTCTTGATGCTAGAAATTTGTTTCCGTTACCGTTTTTACTTTCTTTTTTCTTAAAGAAGCAGCACAATTCACCAATGCATAAGGTTCATTTCAGAATTTGACTCTAAATGGGACTGTGTCCAAATGACAACAATAACCAGGGGATAGRAATATAAGGCTATGCCAGAAATGCGTTATCGGAACAATCTAATGAAAGAAATTAAAATAAACCCACAGAAAATTAACAACAATAACAGCATATCTATGCAGCTCCTAGCCCGGCAGGAGAAACCTGCTCTTGGATCACCAGATGTGTGGTRGCTGGCTTAAGGGCTGGGATGGCACCCACAATTCCCTCTCTGTCCTGTGGGCAGGCATGGGTTTCCCAGCCTTTGGGGTGCTGCTGGTGGCTGTGCCAGCCAGGATGAGGCAGGGTGACCCGTGATCCTGTGTGGCACTGGATCCTGGGAGCAGGCTTGCAGGTGGCATTGGCTCYGATAGCCACATGTAGGGAGCACAGGAAATCACACATCCTCTGCTCACCAGAGGAGCTGCTGCAACTCTGTGGACCTGCAAATCTTTAAGACCTTGTAATTTACTGGTCTGCTTCCAGTCCCAGACTCTGAACTTGTAAAAATCTGTCCTAGGATGCCTCTATAATCTTTAACTTGTGTAAAGGAGATTTTTTATTCCACACTTTGATTAGCTCCATGCAAAATATTAACACACCAGGAATTGCAGCAGCATCAACTTTCCTGTCAGAGGACAGTGTGTSAGTAACAAAAATAAATAAAAAAGGCACTATATTATACAGGCAAGGAGAGAAGCTATGGTTCAGCGATGTAGTTTACAAGAAAAATATTAATCAAAAGAACTAGACTATGAAGAAAATCTTCTGGATGATTTATAGGAAGACTGCAGCTGCTAAATCCCTCCTCACCTCACCATATGTAATCCTCATGTTATATCAGAACTCATGAAATTGCCCTGCATTTATGTGGTTTTGAAAGCTGGGTGAGCTGRAGCTTGTCCCTAGCTTAAAAAGGTTGGATGCACTGCTCTACAATACCTTGTCATCTCCTTTTGCAGTCACTTAACATGACTGCATAAGGAAGAACATTTGTGTCTCATGTCTGTTGTAAGGCTAATCAAATTTACAGTCCAAATCCAAGGAGTTAATGCTATTGGGGATTTGGATGAGCTGAGGTTTGGTCATTACAAAATTTCAGCTGTGTTTAATGCTAGTTAAACTGCTTTATCATTCAGAAGACAGACTATAATTCTTCTTTAAAACTACTTTTCCCCCAAATAAATGAAAATA